AACAACTTTCTTCTCATGATTAACACTTGAAAACGTACTCAAAAACTTCTAGATGTTATGTAAGTTCTCTTTAGCGGAAATCGCTGAAATGATTCATATAATTTCAACATATTTTGCTTGAGTAATTCAAATGATCTTAATTTGGGTCATTCAGTTCACATTTGTATGACTTTTAGCATTTTTGTAACGACGCTATGCAAAAAATTTAGTTTTGCTTTTAGATTCTTACTTAGATCAGTAGAAAATACTATGGACTATGTACTGATGAAAAAATCTTTTTTTATGCCATATAAAATGTTTGAGAAATAATTCAGATACATCGAATCTTTGTGAAAGATGACGTGAATTGCATTAATCTACTGTATAAAGTGTCACCTAGATTTTAATTTAAGCTCTGCGTTAATTAAACATTTCGAGTTCTTTGTTTTGTACATGGCTGATCAATTGAATCCTAAACTTACAAAGCTGAGTATGAATATAGTGTCGAATACAGATTCTACTTTTGATGCAGTTGTCTATCAGAAAGAAATGACACTGATTATACGTTCCAAATAATTTTATGCTTAGTGTTAACATCCACTGATCACAAATGTAAGGTTGATTTTATCATCAGCTGTATTGCGACGCTATATAATGGTCTTCTAGTTATTATTAAACTTTTACCACATTTATCTCTATTCTGGGACTTATTCTCATATGGTTATATTGGTTAAGAATTAATCGGAAATGAATTTTGAATGATAAAACCTTGAAAACAATGTATTGAAGTAATAAGTAACTTTCTGTTGATAAGAAGTGAAATTAATTACGATATAAATCATAGAAATTTTCATTACAAAATACGGACTCAAAAAATATGGTATCATGGTCATAAATGATAATTTTCAAGGTAATATAAATTAATAATCACCGAAAAGTGTTGCATCACTATCAATGAAGAGTAATCATATTCTATATAATTTTTATTATTTATTACAACTACATAATAGTTCATAAAGTGCTATTGATAAAAATAGGCTGTCTTCAAATACGCGTAGGATAAAAAGACCTTTTACTAGTAAAGAATGAAAAATTTGTTTTTTTGCTCTCGTATTCGAAAGTAGTTGAGAATGTTCATTGTCCTTATGAAATACTTTTTAAGTAAAAACCAATTTTTATTTTAATGACAAGTCTATATTTCAATGCAACATTACTAGGTGTCTAAATATGTTTGCAACATAGTTTATTTTGCATCTATCTCCACACGATAAATTATAAGAACTTGCAATTGTTTTTTTTAAAGATATGTTATTAAATTTTTCTATAATAATCAATGTGAAAGATTTCCTTGATTTATTCGGATAGATTTTAAGAGAAATTAAATGGAACAATATACAAGATCTGATAGATGCTTTTAATCAGTTCTCAAAATCAATTTGCTTGTCTATTTAAATAGATAGTTGTTCGCCTCGCATACCTTTCTATTTAAGTCTCTTAGAACTGATTAAACTAAGTCAAGAAGAACTTTTAACATAATTATCATAGAGATTATGAAGGAATATCTTTTGAAATACTCAAGATTTTATAATGTTTTCTATGAGATATATATATATACCAAAAAAAACTATGTTGGAAACATTTTGGAACATCCACCATATCATTTTGGTGCTTTTTTTAATCTATAAATTAAAATTGAAGTTCAATTTTTATTATAAATTCTTTCATTGTTTTCATTTCATTAGAATTTATCTCGATTTCTATCTTAAATATCCTCATTATTCGATGTTTTTCAAATTTTATAATTTTCTCAAAAGAAAAAAAAATGTAAAATTTCAAACGACCTAGAATTGTAATTAAAGTATTTAAGGATGCAGAAAATTTATCATTGATATGTAAATTTATACTTAAAATTAGAAAATATGAAATGATCAGCTAAAAAAATGTTTAAATTTATTTTGTTTATTATTTTTAATGAGTCTAAAAATACATGAGGATTATTTTATCGAGAAAACTAGATAGACACTATCTGTGTATTTATTAATGAATGATGATTAAAAAAAATTAGGAAACAATGACATTCACGAACGGAAAATAGAAATTATAATAATGAACACGAAAAGACAGACGACATCATTTTTAAAAATAAATAATATATATTAACATGAAAGTTTGAATACAGCAAATATATCTAGTAAAAGCTCAGTAATGGAAACAAAGATTAGGTTATACAAACGTTTTCAATACTTTTATATTGAATTTTGGTCACACAAAAACAAAAAGATATGTCATATTCATTTTAATCTTATTTGTAAGATATGCAACAAAAATAGCTTCACTTTGTCTTCATACAGGTATTAAAAATCGTATATATGTATAAAATATGATAAATGATTATCTGTTTATAGTTTTATTTTGTTCTATTCAATTAATATAAGTTAGTATAACGGCTTGTTCACGTGACATAACACTTCACTGATCAAGTTTTTGAAAAATTTTTTTTCGAATTGGATAGATCTAAATGCATTATTAGGTGCTGTTTTTCACGCTAATTACGAATTTAACATTTGTTATTTAGAAAAAATTGGATTTTGGTATCGGAAATCAGGTTTTAAATTTTTCAAAAATCATATTTTCAATTTCCTAATCAAAAAATTTTCTTAAAGAATGCTGAGTGATATATCATTTGATGCAAAATTTAGTTCTCTACAAAATCATCTACTTATTTTTGACTTTCATCGCTAAGAGCAACTTGTACAGTTAATGAGCTACCGTTTTAATGTAGCAACTTGATGCTTCGGTAGAACAATTAGATATACAGAGAAGATCAATATTTATGAGCATGTTAAGTGTCTCAAAATTGGTCGAAAAAAACTGTGTGATAACATTACGTTTGTTTTTGGCACTTTTTACCGAAACAAAAATAATTTAGAGAAAATCTTTGTTATCATTTATATATGTAACAGCGTTATGCAATGGTAAAATCTTTCTAGAAATCCGAGACTTCAGCTAAAAAAAGATCATTCTGATAGCATAAATAGAGTAGGATGAGCTGCGTCAAATGACATTTGAACAAACTTTCTAGCTTTCAAACCTTACGAGATAACTGAAAAAAAAATTTAAAAACATAACAGTCTTACGTTCTGGCGAGCAGATAAGATGTAACAGAAGTCTAAGAAATATATAATAATATAAAAGAAGTGAATATTTTATTATGAGAATGATCCGTTTATTCTTTTAATAAAAATAATTGAAATAAAACATGTCAAGGAAGAAAAGAAAAAAGATAATGAATATTTTTCTAACGTATGCAGTAGAATAAATTAGTCAACCTTTTAGTATTTTCTCTATATCTCTATCGTTTGTTATCATTTCAGATTGAACTTTTTTCCAAAACATTCAGCATAAAATTATCTACAAAACCATAGGTAAGTATTGATTGAAAAGATAGAAATAAAAAATTTATTCAACGAATATTATGATAATGTATTATTAAAAAGTTGCAATCATAAAATTGAGTTTTTTTCATATTTTCGGATTCTGCTGTTTAAATAGGAAAAAGCTTCAATGCCCATCTTGCACATCTTAAATAGTTCAATTTCATTATGATAATTAATAATTTTCTTAAAGAACGTCATTCATGCTAAATGCTCATTTCTTTTTTTTAGATTAAAAAGAAAAGCACGTCTTCATACCTCAAGGTTTTAGTACTCTCATACAGATGATTTAATTGGAGCAAAAATTAATGTTTTGGTATCCACTTTTTATTTTATAAGTTAATGATTCCGTTTAGTATAAGTTAGCTGAATTGTGCGAAAATATTTTTCTTTTTACTTTTAATCAGGTTTAAATCATAAGAGCTACTGGGTTAGCGTGAACTTTTTATCAAAAGAATAAACTTCTTTTGAAAGAGTTGTTCAAATGATCTTACCCTTCGAATATAATATTAGTTCAAGCACATTTCATTATGTTTGAAATAGTTGTTTGAATCATTTTAGTAATTGTTTATTAGGCAAAAGAAACAGAAAATTATGTTACGAATTCGTGATTCAAACTTGTTAACAATACATGTTCACACTAATCGTCAAAGCAGAATACTTACTTCTATCTTTTTAACATATACTTTCCTGTGAGTGATTTTGTAGACAATGTTATGTTGACTTACTTCGGGGAAAACAAAACCATCAGTCTGAGACGATAAGAAATGGTCGAGATATTGAGAAGTTCATTTATTCTTTCACAATCGTTAAAGTCCATTTCATTCACATGAATGCATACAAGTTTCTAATATCTACTCGCTAACATAGAGAACAACGATTATGAACTTTACCATACTAGTCATATTTCTCTTTTTCTTCTGCCTTTTTTGAAGAGAATATTAATTGTAAAGATAGTGGAGCATATAATTATTGTTGATTCGAATCTCTTATTCTTTTTTTTTTGTTTTGAAATTAGGAAAGAAGAATTAGATTTACAATGTTTAATGATTTATTTTTTAACTTTACAAACAATGAATGGATGCAACCTGCTTTAGCATCTTGTCATGTATTAAAATGGATTGGTATTTATTTATGTTTTACTTTTATTTTTGGTGTTTGTCTCAATGCTATTGTTCTTATTATTCTTCTTCAAAATAAACGTCGTCGATCACCAATTGATATATTTATTATTGCTTTATGTTTTGCTGATTTATTGGATGCCTTACTTGGAATTCCATTATCTCTTACGTCTAATTTAGCTTGCCGGTAAATATGATTTTATTATTTTTAATCATATTTATTTTATATTTAGATGGTTATATGGTAAATATTTATGTTATTATGAAGGTTTTATTACTTATTTTGTTGGAATGGTTGGACTATATTTATTAACGGCTTTATCTTTGAATAGGTTTGAAAAAATTTCATAGATAATAAGATAATACTTATTTTTTTTTATTTCAAAAGATATTGGAAAATTGTTACACCAACAAAAGAAAAATATGTTACTTTTCAAACTGCTTATATATCAATAATTTTATCTGTACTTGGTGCTTTATTTTGGGCATTGCCACCTATATTTGGTTGGTAAGTAGAAAAGTTCAATTACATAAAATTATATATTAATAAGTTGGAAAAGCCTCGGATGAAATAAGACTATTTGTCATATAAAGTTTTTAGCTCTGAATTGCATACATCTGATGAAAGGACACTATTTTTATCTTTCATTTTATACTTGTGTCATTTTCATGATGGTTTTTTTTTCAACTCATACTAAACTTTATTCATAGATTAGGTCAACGAGTAAAAAAAAAGAGTTTTCAATAAAGAAATGTGAAAATTATATTCTCATTCAGATAAAAATAATATAATGGGTATTTACTATTTCAGTTCATCTTTGACATCATTTTTGAGAGCACTTACTATATGAATAATAAATGTATGAAAAGAATTGTAACAATTATACTAGATGAACTTTTTTCCAAACTACACAGTCTAATAGCTAATACCAAGATAAATCATTATGAACGAAACTTATTAGCAAGAGATTAGATTTACAAAATATTCTTCTATCAATACTTATTAAATTTAATTTCTATCGTTTAGGAATAATTATAAACTAGAAGGTGTACGAACAACATGTTCCATATGTTGGCAAGATCGAACAATAAATGTTATTAGTTACAATGTTCTTATGTTTATTTTTGCTTACACTATACCATTAATTATTATGGTTTATTGCAATATATGTATTTATCTTAAAGTAAGTATTAATACATATTGTTTGTCTATTTTGTAAAAACTAAAATATGTATATATAAATATAAGGTACATGAGAATAGCCGAGCACAAATGGCATGGAATACAATTAAAAACTCATCGAAATCAGGTTTGAAAAAACAAAACATGGAAAAAAGCATGGCTAAAACGATTTTTTTTATCATTCGTAAGTTTTTTTTTCTTTTCTAAAAACACTATTTTATTTATGAATATATTTGCATGTGAAAAAGCTTTTAGCTCAATATAAGTATTCTAGACATTTTGGTTAAAAATAAAATATATTCCTCATATAAACATAAAAACAAACTTCCATGCAAAATAATATTTTTTATTTTTGTCAGTATCCAATTTTGTAGAAATCATAATGTATCATCAATCGAATGCATTCTTCATTCAAGTGTGGGAAACATTCTCATTGAAGTAGAAAAGCTTTTAAGTTTTACTCCTCTATCGATAGTCTTAATATAATAACAACTACAATTATTTGTCTTACTTTTAATTCATATTTATAGAACGATTAATAGAATATTATTATATAATATTAACAGTCTTCGGTAAAAAAAAAGAAATAACTAATTAAAACATGTAAACACTATAGTAGGGGTGCAACAAATCCTTATTTTTTGTACAAAAATTGAATTTTTTCAGAATGAAAATCCACCAAATCCAACCAAATCTTCGTGTCAATTATAATCAGTTTTAATCGCTCTTTCTAATACTGGTATTTATTTACCGAATCCCTACCAAATCTTGCGTAAGATTTGGCAGGATTTGGTGAAAATGGCGATATATATAACAAATTCCACCAAATTCTACGCAAGATTTGGTAGGGATTTGGTAAATAAATACCAGTATCAGAAAGAGCGATTAAAGCTGATCATGATTGACACGAAGATTTGGTTGGATTTGGGGGGTTTTCATTCAGAAAAGTTTCAATCTTTGTACAAAAATGTACAAAAAATAAGGATTTGTTGCACCCCTACACTATAGAGAAGAGAAATTTTTATGAATAGATCAAAATTTGTCATTTTCGGATGCTTTATTTTACGAGATAATGAAGTCGTACTCAACCTGAAACATGTTTATGAATGTTTATGGTTTTTTTTTGGACACGTTAAATTTCATATGAAAAATTTCTTCTACTAACAGATATTATTTATATGTCTAACAAACTTCAAGAATATAAATTTTATGATAGAATTTTGAATTTTGAATTTACTATAATAAATATTTTAATAACTTATCTTTAGTTGCTTTTACAATTGCCTGGACACCATATGCTATTGTAGCATTTATATCATCATTTTTTTCTCCGGATTTAATTCCACCATTAGGTGGTACAATACCAGGTTAATTGATTTATTTCTAAAACTATTTTATTTCTAATTATTCTTTTCTAAATAGCAATATTTGCTAAATCATCAATTTATTTTAATCCATTTATTTATATTATGTCAAATTCTTATATGCGTTCAAAATTATTCCATATACGAAAAAATACACGTCGAACACCAACTAGTTTGTATTGATTTATAACAAAAAAAAAGAACATCTCTATTTATATGTTTCCACATTTTAGATAGTGATTCATTAAAAGATAATAATAAACAATCAGTTTCATTGAAATATCTTGAAATTAGTTAATATTTCGTTGAATATAACAAATCGTATCAATATTATCTTGTTTTGATTTTATAAAAAAGATATTTTGTATTACACTAACACTAATGTATTGTTATTTTTATTTTTTGAAAAAAAAAAAATAAATAAAAAATTCTAATAAGGATCAAAAAAAGAAATCTATATATTTATTCTCTATGGTTTATTTACATTTTTCACAACTATGATTCCTTTAAATTTTGATGCAACTAATGTTCCTTGTACACCTTTTAAAAAAGCTTGTCCAACAATATTCATTGATAATTGATGATGTGTTTGTTCATTTTTTAATAAAACATCACTAACAACATTACGTATAATAATATCACCATCAATATTTTCAACACGTGTATTACCATTTTCTTCTCGAACAATAACTGATTGTTTTCTTGTACGATAATTATGAATTATTATTTCACCATAATGTTTTGATAAATCACTTGTTTCATCTACTTCTAATTCTTTTAACATCATTTGTTTTGGTCCACGATATAATAATAAATCATCATGTAATGCTAATGTATCAAATCCATATTGTTCACTTGGTACAAGTGCTTCATCCCGAAAGACTTCTTTAATAACTTCAGTTAAACTTTTATTAACTGGTTCTTCAAGTGTTTGATGACCAGCAGCTAAAGATAAATTATATTAATTTTTTTAAAGAATTATTATTATTATTTGGAGATAGATATATATATAACAAAACTAAGAAAAAAAACCTATCGTTCAGATGAAAGAATTTTCATGTTAACTGTTAATTTGATGACAAAATAAAAGTTCTGAAAGTTACTAGCATTGAAAAAATTAAGTTTAGAACTATCCAATATCGAAATCATTCATCGATTTTAATAGTTTCAAGACATTCATATTGATAGTAGATTATTTGTTTTTATTTGTTTAAACATTTTATTAACACTGATATTCTTGAATTCTGTTATTATCATTTTCAACATTGATTAATGTTCATATTTCAATAAGTGTTCAATTCTTCTTACCTGCTTTCATAACACCATTAACAACATTTTCAAGACTTTGGTCAATTTTTTCCAATAATAAAGATGGATCATATTGTTTTACTGAAATAATAGCAAAATTTTCAATTAGCATGTACTCTTTATAGAGTAAATTGGAAATTAATTTTACCTGGTGTTGTCTCAAATTTAAATTCTTGTACGGTATTACTTTGATCATCAGTTGTCGATGATGTTATATTATCAATTTTAAAACTATAAGGTGTATTTTCTTCAAGATTGTCAATTGTTGTACTTAAATGCTCTTTATCAATTGTTCCAACCTAAATTATGTATTAATAAGATAAGAAAAAATTCAGATGAATGAAGTACGACTGAAAAACTCTAGAAAATGATAGGAACTTGGAAACAGGAATCGAGTGATTCGATTCGATGACCGGATTTATTCAATTCTGATCGGAGCCAATCAGAATTTGGTTACGGGATTCTTGCTTCTAAGTTCCTACCATTTTCCGATCGAAAATGGCGTTTTCTTTCTACTATTTACAACATCGAATAAAAATCAATCTTCTATTGTGTGATAAAGTACAATGCAATATTAAATTTCTTTTTTTTTTCTCTTACGTACTTTATTCCAATCATTATCATCTGTTGTTTCATTTTTTGAATAAATATCATAAACATCTTCAAATGTTGCTGGTTCTTCTGTCGGGACAATTGCTTCGACAAGAACACTTGTTGAATCAAGTTTTTGAATTGAAAATTGAGGTTGAACAGCTACCGGAGTTTCAGTTTCAGTTTTAGTTTCAGTTTTATCAACTAAAAAACACAACAAACAAATATATTTGTATATATGTAGAGATCTTCTTGAGCTAACATCGTCCTTTTCGTGCTGATGGCATTTTAACATCAAGGACAAGTGAAAGTTGAGAAGTATCAGTTCCATTTGTTGTTGTTGTTCCTGATACAATTGGAGTAAAACGAAATTTATAATTAGTTCCTTGTTTAAGATTATCAATTGTTAAATGTGGATCATCTTGAGTAATATCCGACACCTAGAGAGAGAAAAAAGAAAAAAAAAGAACTATTTATATTTGTCAAATATTCAAAAAAAAAACAATATTTTACTTGTTTCCATTGATTGCGTTGATCAGTTGTTGTATATTCAATTTTATAACAGTCAAATTCGTTAAAACCTTCGTCGGATATATCAATATCAACTGTATTTGTTGATGTTGGATTAATATGTAATGAATTTAACAATTCATTAACATTATGTACGGTCAATACTTCTGGTTCGACTTCATTATCTACAAAAAGAAAAAGATTTATTAAATAAAAAAAAAAGAACTGATTGTATTTTCATCGTACCTGTTTTTTCCATTTCTTCAAGTTCACTTGTTGATGGTATCAAACGAAATTGAGTTTGTTTAGCATCAGTTAAACTATCTATTCTAGCTGAACGTTGTGATAATGGAACTTCAATAACTTTTTCCCATTCTGATTCGTGTTGTTCTTCTTCTTCTTGTTCTTTCTTTTCAATATCATAGATATTTGTTTTTTCATCATTGTTATTATCATTCCATGTTAATTGAACAGAATTAGATGAAAGAATTTCCACATGAGGTATAATTATATTTTTATCTTGAAACAAATGCATAAATATTTCACCAGTCGGTTTACTTGTGAATGTTTGACCACTTTTTAAATGAGCTTTAAGACGAAAATATGATGGAATATTAACATTAATTTCATTATTATCATTCAATAGTGAAATATCAAATTGTGTTTGATTTTTTAATTTATTAATTTTTTCTCCAATTGATAACCATTCTTGATCACCTAATTGACGTTCAATTGTAAAATAATCAATTGTAGATGATGATTTTGGTGATGCCCATTGACAAAAAAGCCGAATTAAAGAATTGTTTTCATCTTGATTTTTATCTGTTGATGGTATAGGTTCCCAACGAACAGTAAATGATGTTAATTCAATATCTCCTGATTTCTCTTGATCATACGCAATAGAAGATTTTCGAATTTTATCAGTAGAATCATTTTTTTGATCTTTAATTAAATTTTTCTTCTGATCTTCAATCAAAGGAATATTTTCTTTTAAATGCTTGTTTGATTCAACTTTGTCTTGTTTTGATTCACCTTTTTCTTGTCTTGATTCAACTTCTTCTTGTTCTGATTCAATTTCTTCCTGTCTTGATTCAACTTCTTGTCTTGATTTAACTTTTTCTTGTCTTGATTTAACTTTTTCTTGTCTTGATTCAACTTCTTCTTGTCTTAATTCAACTTCTTCTTGTTTTGAGTCACCTTTTTCTTGTCTTGATTTAACTTTTTGTCTTGATTCAACTTCTTCTTGTCTTGATTCAACTTCTTCGTGTTTTGAGTCACCTTTTTCTTGTCTTGATTCAACTTCTTCTTGTTCTGATTCAATTTCTTCGTGTCTTGATTCAACTTCTTGTCTTGATTTAACTTTTTCTTGTCTTGATTCAACTTCTTCTTGTCTTGATTCAACTTCTTCTTGTTTTGAGTCACCTTTTTCTTGTCTTGATTCAACTTCTTGTCTTGGTTCAACGTCTTGTCTTGATTTAACTTTTTCTTGTCTTGATTCAACTTCTTCTTGTCTTGATTTAACTTTTTCTTGC